AATTTTTTCTCTTAAAAAAAGTCAAAAAAACATTTCTAGAGACAGGCAGATCCACTCTAGTTCTATTAGTGCAGATAGTCCTCCAAACAAATATAAGAGTAAACAAGTTCCTGATGGGTTCTGCTCGCACTTGGGCAAATAGTAAAGGGAGTCTATTCACACCAATAGAACTATTGGGGGTGTATCCACAATTAAGCCATATCCAAACTAGCAATCTCAGCTACCAAAATAGCTTCTAATACACATTACACCCACATGCATCTGATATCATGGTACTAAAAGGACTATTTTACCCATGACATTTTTGAATCCCATAGGTGGCTGAAGGTTATAACGTGAAGACTGCAAGAGAATACATCGAATTCACCTGGTCTTACAAGACCTGTTATGATTTTAGCATTAGGACCTAAAACACGACCTAATCTCCTTTTTCCTGATTCGTTTATGTAATGGTTACAGGGGGGCTTGTCTGACAAAAAAAAAAATATACAATCTTTTCATCATAACTATCCCACCCAGTGAATAACCAAATAACTTACATTGCGAGAGATAATAGTTCGCATAAAACGAACAGCTGCCACAACCAAAAACTTTTCTCTACGGCGAGTTAAATAGAGGACCTTCTCAATAGCATTATTCATAAGAAAATTGCACCTAAAATGACAAGAAAAACAGAAACATGTTAAGAGTGAGGAGATTGGCAGTGTTTGATCCACAATAACAAGCAATTGATACAAAATAAACTCACTTTATCTTGTAAGGATGATGGAGCACACAAAAACACAGAAGCTCACAGATGTTAGATATAATTTCAGGTTTTGGTGCAGCAGCAGATCTGTCTCTTGAACCCGAACCAGATGATTTTCTAACAGCTTGAGAACGACTTTTTGGAGGACAAGATGATGCTATCACATCAACCAGTTCGTTTAGATGCCGTTCATAAAAAATCTCTATAATTGTGTCCTTCTGTAAGAAATAAAGTAAACAATCAACAAGCCAGTTGATACCAATGATTGAAAACTATAACTTGAAGTACTAGCTTGAGGCAAAAAGATGTAATATCCCTTACATATCAATTTCAAATCAATAAGATGCTGATTAGCTCACATGCAACAGCAGATTTTATTTATAATAAAATTAAACAAAGTGTTAATTTTAGAAAACTCCCCTCAACTATTTTAACTCTAGAAAACCACCCTCAATTATGGAGTTGTTGTTGATAACTCCCCACAACTTTCAAAATATTACTTGTCCCCCCTGAACTTTTCTCACTTAACCCCCTAAACTAATATAACTTAAATCTAAAGGAACAAATGATTTAAAATGACCATAGTACCCCCTCAGACATTAAATTGTGTTACCATAGTGTTCAGTTTTAAAAAAAAAGGTTAAAAATAAATTTTATTTTATTCCCCCTCCCCCTCTTTTTATTCCTCCATCTTCATTGTTAGGTTTACGTGCAAATCTAATTTTTTTTCTTTTTGAAACATTAACCTTCTTTTATTTTCTGCTTGCCCATGCCTTATAAGGTTTGAAACAATTAAAACTTTTAAATTTTTTTAATATTAATTTCCTCATAAAAACCCATCAAACCGAAGTCTAATATTTTGATTGTCTTAAACTCATGAATTTTTTTCAACCAAGGTATTTTAGTCATTTTATATTTCAAGCTAATAGTATTAGGGGGGTTATTAACAAAATAGAAAGATAAAGGGGGTTTTGTGATACACCCTATGGTTAAGGGGGCTTTAATCATATTTTAAAAGTTGAGGGGTTATCTACAACACCCTCAAATTTGAGAAGGGCTTTGTAAAGATAAAATAGCTGAGGCGGGTTTTCTAAGAGACAAGTCCCACAGTCGAGGGGGGTTCCAAAAATTAACCCTTAAGCAAAATACAAAAAGTAGTTAAGCATACAAAACATAAAGAACCAACCAGTGCAAAATTTATTAAACTCAACCTGTGACCCAGTCATCGTATATGAGTCAACCAGTATGCGAATGATTTCCAGAAACTGACAATGCATGTCCTCCCCAAAATCAGTTATCATACCTTTGACCTGCAAAATCCATCCTTAAATAAGTTGACGAACAGGAAAGAAATATAGGCCAATAATATGAAAAGGAAGTACTATCTATATACATTTACTCCACCATTCAGAGATAAACATAACATTCCCACATTTATTGGTGTACAAAAATTCCCTTGCACTTTTCTAATGCATAGTCATGCATATGCCTAGAGGTACGCACTGCAATAACCCGGATTATGACTAGGATGTTCTACATTCTTGTAGAGGTAGTTATATAACACAGGCAATTCTATTGTAAAGGCATAGCTTGCTGGACAGACGTATTGAAAAGGATACTTGTAGTTGTGTGCACTATCAAGAATACCAATGGGTAGTTATTAGCACAGGAAGTTCCACTGTAAAGGTATGGCTTGCTGGACAGACATACTGAAAAGAATACTTACAGTTTGTGCACTTTCAAGAATTAACAAATGGGAAGTGTCGCTTCTATGACAGCATATCTGAGTTTATGCAACATAGGCATAAAGGAACCGTCTAAATGTTACATTTAATTCATGATTTTTCCAGTGAGTTGAATAGTAATTTTGAATAAATTCTTCTCAGCACAATTAAAGACATTTTTCTAGAAGAATGGATACAATGCAACTAAAAGAAATTTTTCTCATAATAAGGGGGAAAGTGATATCCACTTTGTTATTCTACGACGAAAACAAGAATAAAGTAAAAAATAGAACTACATCCCAAGCTGTGTTGTTGCGGCCGCTCCACGGCAGTCGCCTCAGTCATCAGGTACTCCAAGCTACAGCTACTACACGAAATATGGGGTGCATACAGCGAGCGAGAAGTGTGATGCACCTTGTGCCTTAGGGTGCCTCGATTTTCCCAAGCAGGCCTTACTTTTCTACTGCAGTTTCAACTGCATCCTCTCGTTCCTCCTCTTTTGCACACTCTTTTATCATTGTTTCATCATTCTCTTTCTTCTCTTTCCCCAAAAATATTTTGCCTACCCCCTCCACTTCTTCCTTCTTTTTGAGATTTATTGTCTACATCCTTCACTCCTTCCTCCTGTTTCCCCTTTTTGATATTGTTTCCACTACTACTAACATTGATTGTGAAGTCGCAAACTATTGTCCTAGATCCAATCCAACGGCATCAACAATTGATAAGAATAAAGGATTCTAGTTTATCAATTTCTATAGTTCTTCTCTTTCCCGTGTTTAATTTTTCTATTTCACTAGTACCCTGCTAATTGCCTTAAAATTTTCTTCCTTTGAAATATAATTCTTCTTCCTTTTTTGTTTGCTTGATATGCCATTGCCTAATCTATCTTTTCCTCCCCATGTTCCGTCCTCCCTTTCTCTTCTCTACTTCCTTTTCACTACTTGCCTTATTGTCTTCTTTTTTATTTTTCCTTATTTCAACTTAATGGATACATGCATTCCATGATTCATGAATGTGTATCGGGTTCATCTGTTGATGCTGATCAACCGATCATGAGCGGGGTGCATGGTTGACAATCCCTATGGATGATCCAAGCCATTCAACATGAATTGCATGCCTTAAAATGCTTGTGGATGAATCATCCAAGTTAAAAAGGTGCTTCTCAACATGATATTTGAATATGCGATTTAACTGCAGAACCTCTTGATCCCACTGCTCTTGTACCATGTAGACAACCATTATGGACAAAGCTTAGCCGATAAACCGTGAGCTAAAATGCATCATACCAAGTAAACCTAGCAGTAGTCTGTACTAAAAGATGGTCAGCCAACAGTACTGACATGAAAATAATGCTTTAAAAGTGTTGGGACCCTGTCCATGCATTCAACTCGGTTAAGCTTGAATCTAGGTCCTAGCAAATAAGAATGACTAAAATGGAATAGTCTATTCTAACTTAGGCATTGACATAAATATTCAAGTGCTTTGGTAGCAACAACTGGGATTCTACTTTGTTAAAATAAAGGATGCACTAGTCGACAAACAATCTAAACTGCAACATAGGGAACACAACGGAATCTTGCTTGCACTAAAATCATTAAGTCCCTCAACTATATAGATCAAAGTAAGAAACAACCATATTTAACCAACTCAATTATTTGTTAGCTTGCTTACCAAAAATCTAAGAAGGGAATTCCCTTCTTGTTGAATAACGTATGATCTCAAAAGGTTTGGGTCTTGATTAAGAAAAAGGATGAGTATTTCTGTCCTGCATTATGTCAACATATCATTAGTAGTGAAGCCCACAGAAAGGAGCATTACAATTTTTAAAAATAATTAGTGGAAAATATGGAAAATGTAGGAATACCAATTACCCCGTAGTTAAAAGCTTTATATCCTGGCTCTGCAACATGTCAGTTATGATGTCAAATATCCCTTCACTTGCAAGATCCCTGTAACAAGTAGAGTTGTATTAAACTGTAAGAATTAACAGAACAAATAGTGTAAATAATTAAGAAAAACAATGATTAAGAAAATTGCAATGTGCAAGTTGACAGATTCAACACACACTAATTAGAATCATGTTTTGTTTGTTTATTTGGTTAGCATGCCTACACCAACAGCTTTTCTAAGTTCTAAATTTCTCGCTTTGTACATTTCTCTTCTAGTTGCTTAAGCATTTACCCAAGTGACCATGTGCTAATATAGCTTACCAGGGTACCAAGACAATACGGATGATTTTTTTTTATAAATTTCTTTTACATCCCTTCTCTCTCTCTCTCTTTGGACTTAAATATGCCAACTAGTGTTTTAAATTGCAGCTGCCATGAAGGACATGGCGGACTATATGATGGATTTGGGAGCTTACCACAAGGAAAGCTCATCTTTCATATCTATGGCGGTTTTGACCCAATATCGGGGATATATCGGTTCACATATTGGAAACTATGACTGCTACTGTGGCCTGAAATGCGACAGACCCACCTACCCCCTCCTTTTTCAGATTGCAATTTTTAAGTTTGGGTTTATATCACTAAAAGGTCACATGCATATATGAACAAATTATATAAAACAAAAGCAAGTAATTTTGTAATACATCATGCTTCTTTCACTGTTAATGTTTAAAAGTTTCAGTTGAGCTTTTGCTTTGAGCTTCAAGAATGTTATTAACCCACCTACCAATCTGCAATATAATACAAGAATAGAGAACTATTATATACAGAAGTGATTGTACATGCTTCAACAATTAAGATGGAAGTTAAATTGATGTTGTTACTTGTTAGTTGTCTTCTAGATTTCATTTTAGGATATTATATTATACATGCATGTCATCCAATTTGGCACTCCAATATTTACTACACATCCCCAATAGTTTCCAGATTTCTGCAATCTAATATGGATTTTGACCATCCGACATATTCCCAACATCCAATATTTAAAACCTTGCAAGGAACATCCCAGTCTTTCCATGTGCTCCAAGTTGTGTATCCTCTACTCTGCAAGATCTGATATGCCAGTCCATCCACCCACCCTCTCTTTCCACAACCACACCACACCAAACCATTGCTTCATCCTTCACTTACCCATTCCATTTAATCCTTATGCTCTCTTTCCACTTTATATCCCTCAGCCATTCATTCTATACGGAGACTCCTAAAGTTGGAGAGAAACTTCTATGTATCAGAGTTCTTCGTGTTAACTAAGAAAGTCAAGAAAGTGACAAACATCAAAGACAAGTACATGCCTACATTGCCCACACAGAAGTATGTCACCCAAATATAGCACCTTACATGAAATAGCAAGGAAATTTATACCGTCTTAATGTCACACCAACAAAAGGAAATCCTTTATCCAAAATTTTGGGGTCGGTGATGAGAACCCTTTCCTCATCATTTGATGTTGGTTTCGGTCTTATCCCAGTTCTATCATGACAACTGCAAGTATAATCATGTCCCTTTCTATCTGGGACACTGTTGAATCTCAAACAAAAATCACCTCAAGCATTTTGCTCTTGTATTAGCTTACGCCACCTCTAAACTTCCTACAGTTACTCTTCTTATTCTATCTTCTTTTTCCTTCAGTGCCATTTGTACATCTAGATATACTTATTTCAGATTATCCTCCTTTTCATGTGTATTCTTAATTGCCCAATACTTCGATCCACAAATCATGAGAATTTTGTGACACAAGACACACCAAGGGAATTTATCAGTGTCATCATTATGTGGAATGATGATATATGAGAATAGTAACTCCAATAGCATCCTAGTGGATACGAACACTGCCTTTACATCTCTACCTTTATATAGTTGTGCTCTATGATTATTTTCATCTTGCTAGTTCAAAATTCCTTAGATCCTAGAGTGTCTTCCAATATTTATATCTTATTTCTACTTCAAGAAATCACTCGTTTGCAATCATCTCAACTAAGACAAGACCAAGACATGCACATTTGATGTTCAGGTGTAAATTAAGGGGTAGCATTTTCGTCAAACCCCAGGAAGAGCTTAACAAAAACAACAAATTGATTAACGAATAAAAAGTGAAACAATCAAAAGGAAGGAATAGATAGAATCAGGGAAACATCACTGTGACATACATCAAGGTGAACTAACGAGACAAGATGGCCTGCATAATGATTCCAAAGAATGATCTAAATAAACCACTAAGCATAAATATCAAGCAAGAATACCGTGAAAAAGTAATGCACCAGCACTAAGTCAAGTCAAAAATGCAACAAAAAGCGGCTAACAAGGACAAAATCAACTTTTGCAAGTGAGCTTCTAGCTGACCAACCAGTATGTGGCTGGTGAGACTGGACAGGTAGAGAATTAAAATGCAACAAATGAAACAGTTGGAAATGAACAAATTCGTAGGCACTGCTGACAGAAAATTAGTTGCTATTGATTTCAAGGTCTTCTAGTGCAAATAAGGCACTCTTAAGAGATAAAATACAGGTTTATCGAATATAGGGTCCAGATGCATGGCAAGAATAACTAAAGAACTTCCACGAAGAAGGAAAGAAATGCCTTTATGCACCTACGGAAAGGCAAGCAATTTGATTCAGGCTACTCATTCAACCCCGAGTCTAACACCTTTAGAATATGAGTTATCACTCATCACTTATCAAAGAATCTCTTCATACACCTTTAGAATATGAGTTATTACTTATCAAAGAATCTCTTCATACACTGTGTTTCACTGTTAAAGGCCAAATTGTAGCACATGCATCCAGTTTTTATGATATAGAATTAACCAAATAGAGATCTTCCAATAGCAAATAGGTACCGATATTTAATGCCTTACATTGGGTGTGGTTCGACTTTATTCGTCGACATTGAAGCATAATTAGAATCTGTGCAACTTATAGTTATTTCCAAAAAGTTTGGCAAGAACCATTCACAGTTAACACAAGGCAACCCCCCCCCCCCCCCAAACCCCCAAAAAGCATCCAACACTCACCCTTTAAAAAAAAGCACACACCAACAAAACACAACACAAACACGTGCAAGCCACAAAGAGAGACAAACACAATACATGCAACAAAAAAAAGTCTTCCAGAGAAAGGTGCAGATTAAATTTGGGTTCATATGTATTTATATAATTTTGAAACCCGCGAAATTTAACTTACTGCCAGAAGTTACAGCTATATTAGTTACCAGTTTGCCTTAATTAAAAGTACTTGTATCACGCCTGTCTGTAGAAATAATATCAGAGGGAAAAGAACTTAATGTTACAAATAAATATCAGAAAATTTAGAGCCCCTTGCAATTTCAACATAGTCCCCCGAGGCCATTCTACTCTGATGCTAGCAACCCAAAGAAGTAAACAACTATATCTGTAAATTGAGAATATAGAACCTCTATGAGCAAAAACATTCAGCTCAGTGCTCGTCTTGTAGCAAATTCCAATCATCTCAACTATGTAAAAGGTGGTCAAATGAACCTTTTATTTGTAATTATTTTTAAAAGACAACTGTGAGTTGTGAGACTAGATGCTTAGTTGACCAACATAAGCTACTCTGGGAAAGTCTAAAAACAGATGACTATTAACATCGAGAAAGACACTGAATCCTTATTCTTATCCCCTCTATTAATTTCTGGCTTCCTTTATAATTCTAACACTTCAAAATTCCACAATACGTTATTAATTTCCTTGTAATTCAAATGGCTTCTTAGACAAGAATGTACTACTATCTGACTTGCTGCAAGTGATAACAGTTGCTTCAAACACAGAAGAACCAGAAGTCAAAACATAAATAAGCAGACATTTCACTTACCGAAACAACCGTAATTGTTGGACCAATTGCAAGCTCTTACTTAGCGAACAAAACTCGTGCAAGAATAAAACCTGCACGTGAATTTTTAATGGGGAAAAAACGAATCATAAAAAAAACAGATAAAAGTAAAAAAGATAAAGGATTTTGATGCAAATTTGTATTATAAACCAAAGTAAGCAAAGAATTTAACATTGAAGTTATTACCAAATTCCTTTTGGATTCTGGAGAAGTGGAGGATGATCGCATCCTTGCAAATAGTTCTTGGATAAACGATGTGTCGTCCTTTAACAATTGAATAACCTAGCAAAAACTCAAATGTTAAAAGAGATAAATTCCAAATTTAAAAAGAAATTAGTAAAAAAGTAAAGATCCTTACAACACCATTATTTGCATGGATAATGGAATTAAGACTTGTCATTGTTGCTTCATCCAATACTCTTGGTAAAATCACATCCTAAAATTTATGCAGAAATAATAAGAGATAAGATATGCAATGATATGCAACGAATTGTGTGATTAAAATTTCAGATACCGTATTCCAGACCTTTATATAACCAAGTCTATATGTTTGATGTATCTTTGACAGTACTGAAGAATCTTTGATGGGGATGGCCTGCACAAAGGACAAAGCTTGAGCAATCAAACATCATGATTGTTCTAGTTAAAAAGCAGTTTCCAAAAATACCTCCTTGAAAACCACATGCTCCTTCAGAAAAGCACGATGATGTTGAACACTAGGGACATCCGGATCATCTATACAACATTCAGAGAGCATATACCGATTGTCAATCATTAATTATGAAACTGGGAAAACAAGAAAGATATTGTCACATAAACAATATGAAGACAAACTCTACAGTTAAACAAGACAGCCGTGATGCATGGAAATTCAACAAATTTATACTTGCTCAGAAAATCAACAATTCGTGATGTATTCTACTTGAAGAATAACTTGACCTATATAGATGCTTTCATGCAGTAAAGATCTGGCTTATTAGCAATATATTTCCGAGAAATTGTAGTAGACTGAAAGAAAATGTAGCAGAAGGGTTATTTGTATTCATGTATGACATAAGAACAGAAATATTTAAAAAACAAACAATAATTTAATCATTGACACAAAGGTAACGTGCAAGCAAAAAAAGATCTGAAACCAAATAATATTTTGATCTTTGACATGAATGTAGTGTAGTGGAATAAAATTATGCAAGAGCAGACATATTCCAGATCAAATAATAATTTAACCTTTGACAGAAGGGCAATACTTAACGAAATGAAATTATGAAAGCACAGAAAGATTCAAAATCAAATAAAAAGTTAATTCTGACATAAAGATAATATGTTAGGAAATGAAATAAGCAATTAACTTGAAGGAACTTATTTTTCGCCTTCCCATGCTTTTCGCCTCAAATTAAGAAGTGAGACCTTTAAATCCCCTTCAGGTAGTCACTTTCTTCTTTGATGGTTAGCTCTTATTTATATCAGTCCTTTCGAGAGGGTTTTCCTATTTAAACAATTTACTTGACACCAATGTATTCCTACATCTTTCGATAAATTAATTGAACAAAGGGCAGAACAATACCACCATGATAGCATAGTTTCACTCTGGCGAAACGATACACTGTGTGTGAAACTGCTTTGAGGAATAATACCAAAATGACCAACCACACAGGACACGCCCTCAAGGAATAAACATAAGCATATTCTCATTTTATCTAACCAAAACATAGCATATTCTCATTTTACTAACCTAAACATAAGCATACTTCTAACTTGATTCTCTCTCAGTTCACCTCGACAAGAGAAACTTCTAACTTTCTACGAATACACTCATTTCTTATCCTATCACTTAGTGTATATCCACTTGTACATCGTTAAATTTTCATTTCAGCTACACTCTTTTTTTGTACAAAGGTTTGGCTAAGTTTAGAGTTTGATTGGCTTTCATAAACTAATTATTTCTCAACTTTCAAAGAAACCAAATAAAATAAAATAACAGAATAAACAAATGACATTTGGACCTCAAAGCTCTTAAATTACATTCTCCATTAAAAGCAATGTCTGCCATGGGTCTAGTTCTTTGCCAATATTCTTCTCTTGGAATAACTCCAAATGAATGCAAAAACTTAAAAGTCTAAGGCTGAAAAGGTAAATATCAGTAAGTTGTCACCAGAAAACACACAGGGAAGTTAAAAAGAGAATATAAGACCGTAAATCAGGAATATATTTCAAGTGATAATGGTCCCTTGGTACAAATATTATCCATATGACCCCAGCCTGAGTCATTTTGAAGTGGCATAATGTCTACACTAATGCATATAAAATATAGTTATAATTAAAGTGTGTGGATCTCATGTTCAAACTACATCTTCAATTTCACAAGTCCCCTTAAGCAAAAATTACTCTCCCTTCCATGCAAAACTTTGCATGGACAGAACTCACAAATACTCTGCTAGGGTTGGCTTAAGCAGTTTCAGACCAATACAGTGCTATCTGAGGCGCAAAACAAGATCCTCACAGGCGGCAACTCTTTTTATACTATGAAACTCCAGAAATTAACAAGTCAAATAAGATACTGCAGACTTTTGTTTGAGATATACTAATATTTTCAACAAGTTACAGCTTCCAATATTATTATGCTAAGGGAGTCCTAGATCACTAGTCAAAACCCAGCAACATCAGAACAATATACCAGCTGAATCTGAAACTGAATGAACCGAATAACGTGGGGAAATATTTACAAACCGGACTGCAGTTAAACAAATAAAAAAATATGAAATGGCACAAATGATTATGGACATTCTATAAATTCAGTAAGCTAACAAGCAATGCCCAAATTTGCATGAAGATTTCTAGGTTAAATATTCAGGAACCAACTCTGCAGCAAAATGAATGTGTGAAATGAAATGAACCTACACTCAAGGCAACCAATAATATCCAAAATATACTCCTCCCCAAAAATTTTATCAAAGATCTGTGGGTTGTTAAGTAAAACTGCACAAAAACAAAAACAAATGAACGATGTTAAAATTCAACTGGATAACCAAGTGTAATGAAAGAACAGCAGAGTAAGAAATATAAACACTTACTTATCCCTCTAACCAATCTGAATATCATATGAAGGTCCTCCATGTTTTCCAAGTCTTCACACATCCTAAATAGGTTCATAAGCTTCGTGAAAAATTCTTGCTGCAGCAAACAGATAAATCTAGAGTTATTAACTTTGAATAAAAGAAACTCAATTATACACTGCATGGATACCCATTGGAATCCCTTGAATTCGTGTCTGTAGCTGCACTGGCATGCACAAGATACTTGACAGACAGAATCTTTACATGGATATGATCCTAAAAAAGAAACTTTTGCCGAGGAGACGGAATAGATTAAGAATTAGGCGAAGAACTATTCCTAGATGGGTATTCCAATCAAAGTACAATATAACTTTTCCACTTAAAATCACAGAAGCAAAGAACAGCTTACATCTTGCAAAATTAGCTCTGCGGCACGCATTTGATCTGTAATACCACATTCTACCACATTCTGCAAACAAAAATGAATTACCTAAGTAATTCAGGACTCAAATTTAAGAATTATAAGAAAAGGAAATTCAATCAAACAACCAGAGATAAACACATAAGTGCATGCATTGAAGTTCTAATTTTTAACTTTTTTTTAGATATTCCAAGAATACAGAGAAGAAAGGCAATATAAATATAAAACTTGAAACCAAATATCTTGAAAAGGAATAATAATTAATGATTAATTATCGTAATGGGAAATAGGTGTTATCTTTTAAATTTAAGATCATGTGAAGGATTTACTTAATTGAAAACCTAATTAATGCATTATTCTTAATCTTCTTTGCAAATCTAATTAATGCAAATACCGTTAACAGCAATGACTTGAGCTGAGATCTCAAATCTAGCATGGTTCGTAAAACATGCAGGAACCTTGAAAGGTAATAAGTCTGCGGAATATGTTCAGCAGATAACTGAGAACGGGATGGCAAGCCTGGAAAACAATAGGTGAAAATCTTCTGAAATGAAGACATCAAGGCCTATGAAGAGGAGCGGCAAACCCAAGAAAATAATTCTTTTGTTGTTTCCCTCTTTCCACTTTCGTGAAAACAACGTAGTTGTAGAATGAACAGGATTCAAAGGCAAGACCTCTTCCTAACTTGAAAAGGCTTTACTTCTACGGTATTGTTATATCAAGAACATAAATTTATGGTTGTAAGATGGCAATTGATGTGTACTCGGTCAGGATCAAAATCAGTAAAGACTGCCATTATCATTTCACAGATATGTAAAAGCACCTCACAAACATGCGCAACAGTGTAGCTCTATAATAGGGTTGGAAGGGGTATAATTTACTTAACAATTATAGTGTATGAGACTTTTCATGAAGAGAATTTGTTGGTGGTCACAACATGACTTTGTATAATACTCCTTTCCATATGCATAACTTCTGCTTCCTCTTGATGATTTGTTGTATGTCCAGAGAATGAACTTTTTCATTAAAAACAGAAAGGCCAATGAGAATATCAAATGGAAAAAGGTCAAAGAAGCAGAGAAGAATTCAGGAAAGTTTGACTAAAAGTTATGTAAATAAAAAAATTTGTTAGGACTGAAGGGGCAATTGCCAGGGATCCCATCCTTTTGTCACTGTACATAAATTTAATAAATGCACTTCCATACAGGCATGTGCATGCTTGTGCTTGAATATATTATGTCCATGTAGGGTTTATGGGCACGCGCTATGGCGTGGTTGTAGATGTATAGATAATATATACAAGCTATATGTATAATAAATTTTGCTACTTATTGTGGTAACATATAAAAATGTTTTCTACATAGTATCACTGAATCAGATGTTTAGAGAGAGAGAGAAAAGAGTAAGAACAAGAATAAGAGAAAAGAAAATGAAATGGGGGTTCAAGCTTGAGATAATTTACTGTGAGGCAAAGAGGAATACAGTAGGAAAAGATGAATAGGAAGACAAAGAAGAGAAAGGAAGGCACAGGAAAGCAAGAAGCCACAACAAAGATCATAGGGTAAGTTGATAACATATATCTACCCACTAATTAGCCTGCTACAACTATATGTCAGCATGCCATACTCAGAACAATAGCTTGTGAAAATAAACAAAGATTAGATACACAAGATAGCTCATGATCGTCATTTTTCAACTGCTTGGCCTGCAATGAACTAAAAAATGCAACATCTAAGGTTAATGTAGGAACCTAATTGGCACTAGACTAACCAGCTTCATTACTAGATATTGAACTATTGAATTAGACAATAGAAAAGAAAAAAATACTATTGGCATGGTAAATTAAGGGATATCTGTGAGATAGCTATGGAAGAACTGTAACTCTTTAAACTCAATTTAAATTTGCAAATATTGTACCTCTGTTAAGAACTGGAAGTATCAATTTTATCAGGCAATACATAACAAGCACAGATATAGGCAATGATAAAAGATCAGTTCAGTAAACATCGGTCTTAATATAAATTAGACTAAAATTTTATTAAAATAAATCAGGAAGCAACATACTGGATATGATCATATCTTGCAATTGTAGATTATTATGAAGATCACCTTTAATATCAAAGGGAGAGCGGATAGCTCAACAGGTGGAAGCTCCCGTAGTTCATTGTTAACTCCATGAAATGATTCATCTGCAAGTGTGACAAAAAACACTAAAATCCAATTTTGTAGATTCTCTGCAAGCTAAACTTAAGAAGTGCCAAAAAATGTAAGGGGTTTTATCTATTTATGAAATATACATCTGCAAACTACTAAATTGCAAAACTGTTTTGCAGAAGTTTCACACTTGAGAAATAGGGGAACATATGATAATTAGGTTTACTAGTATATGCCCAGAGAAAGAAGAGGCAAAAAGAAGACTGTTGCACAAGGTATCATGGCTAAGAATCTCAGTACCTGGCATTGTAGTAAAGAACCAATCAATGTGCATGAAAGTTGAGTACTTGACAATTGACAGCTCGACCCAACTACCAAATGGTGTTGACATGACAATATAACAAATTGATATGAACCAATAGTGGGTATTGTTTCCTATAAGCCAATGGCCAGAAATGGAGGGATCTAAACATACAACAATAAAATTTTCATACTGAAAAACTCAAGAGAAAAGCATGTGCGATGCCTGATGAACTGAAGACCAGGACAAAGACATCTACACAGCTCTAAGTGCAAAATACTTCCTACAACAACATTTCCATCCCTAGCAACCTAAGCTACGTGGATACAGGTAAGGGTGCGGCTGCAGGACACGGCAAATTTGTAAAAGGTAGGATACAGGGAGATGGGTACACATACATGTATATATAGTAATTTACATGAGAATCACAGTATTATTTTCTCATTACACGTGCTATGAAAAACAATACTACAACATTTATATGCTCCTTTTATAATATGTACAGATCTATAAATTAAAAATTTGCTGGTTTTTTAACTTGAAATCAAAATTACCATTTATAACCATTGTTCTGAATTGGGTAAGGGTTAAACTGAACCCAGCTTACGTCCAACGGGTTTCAAGAATTGCATGTGAAGAGTAGCATATACATCCAAGTATATGATGAGTGTTTTAAATTAGAACATGCATTATATAATTGAGTGCACATTTGAATAAGTGTATGCAAATGTCCAAGGGGCGTCCAATGATGTTTCGGTGTTGGGTACGGGTATGACACGGGTCAGGCTCCAATTAGAAGTATCCATGAACATAGCATCTGAAAATAAAGTGCAGGAGGCAATTACTAGGCCTCTGCAACTGCAAAAGTGTGGATATCATCTCCAAGATAAACAAAAAAAGCACAAATCAATGTAATATCATAATCTTATAATTAGCTAATCGTTTCCAATAAAAATGGGTTCAGCTATGGGGCACAGGATCCTTCAGAAAGATAGATGTCCATCAATCACCCTTGTGGGCAAAGAAAACATGTATGAAGGAGTTTTCCATCAGTCCTAGGCAGTTTAGATGGTGATAAGAGAACAAGCCCTCCAAAACCCTCCAAAGAAACTTACATTTTTTTTTTAATATAATTTAGTTATATATCTTGTGCATATAGCTTCCAAGGAAATATTTGTCTGTAGAGGCTTTATGTCAGCGATTCTAAGTTCCTCAACGAAAACTCACCAAAACTCAAACCACGCCTTGACTGTTCACTGCCTTATTCAACTTTAAAAAGTAGGAATATGATATATTCCCCATTTAGAGACCTGATTTTAGAAAGGAATGGTTTTCGATTTTCAATAATGAGATGAACTTAAACTCATGATGAGTTGCAAGAAATCTGCAAACCATGTGATTTCCAACATATTTATGCTTAGCCTGCTTAGGAGTTGTAAATTCAAAAGCTTTATAGACCCGAATGGACAGTTAAAATAACATGTGGATAAACTGACGGGCAAAAAGAATGCTAACATGGTTAATCAGCAACGTATTAAGAAATAGGATATGAAGGAATTTAATGGTTGCTTCTAAGAAGGATAAAAGGAGGGGGACCAACAGAAATGATTTAGACATATACAACAAAAATCAATAAATAAGCCATTACGAAGGACTAATGGAACTACAATGAATCGAGCAAATAGGGCTTGGAGGTATGCCTATGTAAACTTAGATGTTTAGACAATTAATTTAACTATGTAGATAGGAATTAACAAAACTGAATAGAAGAGTAGTCGGTCCAAGAATTTAGGCTATAGAATTCTGTTGTTGTATTGCTTTGTATTGTATTGTTGTAAGATTGCAATAAGTGACCCAGATCACCCGCAGGACAACCCACTAATCAGTTATAAGCCACTCATCTATGTCACCTCAAGTCCCTTCCTCATTCATTCATATAATATGAGGATACGGGTGGCTAAGTACCACAGGAGGAAATTTTGTCCAACGCCGCCCTAGAAGGCTAGAACCTTCATGATAAAATGCAACATCTACATCATTCAAACTCATCTTCATACCCTAACATGTTCATAAATAAAGTTTTATGATGTTTAAATACCTCAAGCCCATGATTCAAATGGTTGCAAATAAATAGTTTTTCGATGATAGAACAAATGAACTACTATGGCCACAATAAAGTGGATGTAGGAATTTGGAGTTTTAGATGATGTGATACAGTCGTGTTCCATAAACATGAAACCTTTTCTTGCACTGTCCTCATCCTGATTCATCACAAACATGCATGCATAAACATAAACATAGAAATAAATGTGTATACCTGCACACACATTATAACTTGAATGTTATGCAGAGCGAGAAGAATGTGATTTATACCATCCCTCATGTGCTTCTAACTTAATTAATTATTTAAAAAGTACGCCAAATTTAGCCCACGGGAAAGACGAAGGCGCATATATGTAATGATACACTTTACAATTCATAGTGGACGAACTCATGGATGATGAACACTGTTTGACTTGATCTATATACTGTTTGTGTTTGAACGTGTATTTGTGCACGTATATGCATGCATACACATGCCTTCATAAACAATTACCGAGAGAGGAGCTGAGAGAGAAGTTGTGTATGTATTAGCTTCACTGATTTCATTCTCACTAACAAAAATAAGAGTATACAGACTACCAATGACGCATCCTACATATCCATATAAGAACTAAGTAGGTAAGTCTAGGTCCTAGGCACACATTTCAAACTGGCATCATCTACAGTTACTAAACATATGATCTCGTGTGTGTGTGTGAATGTGTGCGCGCTTTTGTGTGTGTGTGGGTGGGTGGGTGGGTGGGTATGGGTGTGTGATTTCACAATGAATGCAAGTGAGAGGTGTGGTGTCAATTTGATTAAAAAAGAAATCAAACTCCAGTATAACTAGAATGTATAACCGTTATGACCCAAGAACACTTCCATTCTATCTGGACAATGCTATTAAATATTTTGAAGCAATTTTCAAAGGGACTTATATCGTAATTTCTTCCTTTTTGAAATACAACACAATAATAATAAAAAGATATGCATACATTTACATCTGTAGGCAACTACCTAAGAAGTTGGCTTAAAATTAGACTATGAAATACCCAACGGATGATCAACATCGATTCCCTAGAGCAGTTATAAAAAAGGAGTTGCTATTGAAAATATCTATTTTAAAGCAGTATTTGTAATATTGAAAGTTCATTTGACTGCCACTTAAATAAATTTCTATAGGTAAGTTAGCCAAGAGATCACAATGAGAGTGTGGATCATCTATTGATATGGTCAATCATGAGATATTAGACCAACTTTTTGTCCTTAATTTATACACATGCACAAGCATCTTTAATAAATATGAAGTCAAAGAAAGAAGCGAAGTTGTCTACTCATATAATAGCATAGTTAACAATATTTTAGAAAGCACTAGGTGCTTCTACGCATCGGACCAAGAACCTAGACGGATACCTAGGTGACATGTACGCGTTTTAGCATCAAGAGCATTCTTTCTCGGAGATTCAAAATCCTATATTCGTTGTTTACCTAAGATGGGCTTGGATAAAGAGTTACAATCCAATCCGTTTAGACTTGGCTCATTTTCTTCATCTATCTTTATGCCTAAGCGAGCAAATGTACCAATTTTTGTCTTGATGTTGTCGGCATAAGTGGCGCATGCTCGTCTAGGCGCTCCTATGACCTAAGCGTTCATTCTAAGCATCGCTTTGGCCAAGATGGGCGCCCAGATTGCTCCAAAACATTGATAGTTAATATTCAAGAAAACCTTATTCAAGAAGAGATTCAACTATCAAACTGAAGGCATTAATGAACAAAGAAAAAGCAAAAGGACTACAATGATGTCTATGATTATCATATCTTACGACTAGGGGCAGATCTATATGTAAACTTAGCAGGGCTATTGCACCCTTATGAATATGAAAAATTACATTTTAAAGCCTTCCAAACTTACAATTTGCCATTCGTATTTTATAAATATATGCATCCCAACCATTATACAACCACTAATCATGTAGCCCATTTAAATTTTGATCCCATTTAAGTACGGGAATTTAGCTCATTTGTCAGAGAATGTAACAATTAGTTCAAATGAAATAACCCGTTGATTTGAATTTAGCCCATTACCAACCCAAAACCATTATTCTTCCATTAACCTCATCTCCATTTTTTATCCAATCCCAATACATTTGTGCCCTAGTTCTCCCAACCCTCCATCTCTGTCCAATCCCACTTTGTCTCCCCCGCCATGTCAGCAACATCAATAACTGCACCACGCAATATAATAGTTTTATAAGATTATATTTTTATTTTTGGGCAAAGAGATACTTAATTGTTCGCCCCTCTAGGAAAAATTTTCTGAATCCGCCACAACTACCTACTGAGAAATTTTGCTATATTCATGTTTTATGAGGATTTATGCCAAACGTGCATTCTGTCCATTATTTTTGTATTACAATTATCCTTCCATATCCATCATTGATATGTTTACATTTCATTGCAGCACACATTCGAAAAGATGCAAGAAACAAAGAGTTCATTATGGGTCATAGCAGATAAGTACCATTTGATTGCAAGGAACCCGCAGCTTCAATAGCTTCCATTGACGAAGAACGAGCAACATCAAGACCTACAAAAAAATTATCCATGATATATATTTACATGCAATAAATATACTATGCAAACAACTTGATACTTACTTCCAAGGGTATTAAAATGCAGGTTTCTCTGTACTCCACATATGTGATCCCTAGAAACAGCAATTAACAAAAAATAAAATTAATGGAGCACAAGTCAGAAAAAGAAGTTAAATGTACAGCTAACAATACCAAATGTAGGAGCATCCTGAGGCTTCTTGAAAGCTAAGGGCCAATTCAGTTGAAAGCTCTAGATCTCTCCAAGAGATGATTGTGTCTAGAAAGGTGACTAAATGTCAGCTGCTGAATATTAAAGTAACAAAAATAAAAAAAATTGAAACACAACAGATGCATCCACCTTCTTGCCTTCTGTAAATATCTTCTGAGGAAATGCGATGTACAAGTATGGCATCATTCTCTTCTTCATCAATGACAAGTAAACCAAGTTCCTCTGACCTCTGCAGAGAAATCCACTATAATAAAGATGTATTCTGATGGGAAAAAAAACTTTTCAAGAAAGATAGTACAAAAGCAAAATTGAATCCAGTAGTTTAAGCTTCTTCAGCAAAGGATGAAAACATGAGATGTTGTCTGCAAAGAACCATGACTTAAGATCGCATAGCAAGTAACAAGCATAATTTTCTTGAAAGTAAAAAAAAGGTGGAAATCTATCTGTAATCTCCAGAAGTGGACACAATGTAAATGCCACGCAAAGAACTGGCCCCTAGCATAGAAACCAATATAATGCAAGACATATTTGTGATAAGAAGGCTTGATCAAGGTTGATCCACATAAAAAAATGGTTAACTATTGCAACAGAATAAATATTTGCATGTTTTCATGATAAATGGTAAAAATGGAAGTTAAAAGTACATGATAAACAAAACAAAATCTACTCCAAATTTGGTTAAACAGAAAGGCTTAATTAGGAAAAAGAAATACTGTAGCCATGTTGCAGGTTGCAACTTGCGCTGGCTTTACTTGAACACGACCATCCCAAGCTTCTTATCAAGTATGTTTCGGTTAAGGCCTTTGCACAGATTAGAATGGTAAGAATTCATCGAATAGTAATAAGAGGAAATGTTGGAAGGAACCTCCAAATAATCAACGCTGACGTGCCCTGTTCCTTGGTCCTCCCATTTTCCATCTTCATTCAGACGGTAAACCTTAACACGCTGAAACATGCTTCAATTAGTCAGTTATTAACATATATGTACACCACAATATATAATACTAAATAAATGGTTATTCACAATTGGAAGAAAACAGTTGGGCACATTTGGATTTCACTGGGGGTAGGGGAAGTTAAAGGGGTACAGGGGAGAGAAGATAAGGGAAGGTAAGGGAATTCCCTTCCCCTAGGTTACACCCCAATTTGGAGAAGAACAAATTTTGTATTGTTGAGGGTGAACTTAGGGGAACTAGGGGAACACCGCATACTTTAAAAGCTACCCAAACAGGGCGAATGGTCTCCCCTACCTTCCCTTCTCTTCTACTCCCCTTAATCCCAACAGGGTCTCAAGTACAATTTTTTTAAATGGAACAAGAAGGAAAACACGAAATAGACTGGCATCCTTAATCGTATGGCAGCACCTGAATGGAAATTAAGCTGATTATATGATTGAACCTTAAATTTTGGAGAAAGAGGTGTCAGGTATATGTACATTAGACAATAATGCATTCACCCATATTAAACACAACTGCGCAAATGAACATCACAACAACATCAAAACATTAATCCCAAAGTTTGGGGTTTTCGACATTAATTCTTACCATTCATTTAACTCTGCTAAGGATCACGAGTCATCTATTTGGTAACTTCAAAACTACCACATCCTTTTTAATTGTGCCCGTCCTCGTTCACTTAGGGTTTCTTCTAGTTTTGATTGCTTTAACTACAACCCCATACTTCTTGTTATGAGCACACCTATTAACCTCTTTAACCACTATAGCGCATGGGCGAATTACCTCAATAGTATCTTCCCTTTCTAACCTCAATGTTGTGCATGCCCTCATATTGCTTGGTGGTTGTCTCATTCATCTTAATATTTGCATTATTTTAAGACTCATTTGGTACTTATATTTTTCTTAGAAACCCAAACTTCTGATTAAATAAGCACTAGATGTCCTATGGTCGTATGCTTGTACTGTATATTTTCCATTCAAATTCATACTGTGATTACATAGAACTCTGGCCGCACTGGTTAAAAGTTAACATGTATCTTAGATTCTTAATGATGACAGATAATGAAGTTCAAACAGTTAAGACTCAGCAACTCTGTATTATAACAATAATCCTGAGTTAAATGATAAAGGATGGCATTCAGATATTTCTCAATTGAAGGTTGTATGTTTATAGCCTCTATCACAATATCACACTGAAATTCATCATGGATTAACCACTAATGAATAACAAGGTAATTAGTGAGGGAAAACTAAAAGAAAGAGTAGATTAAAAGGTTAGAGATATTGAGGTCCTTTTTACCATTTACCGAATGCTTTTGCAAGCCTTTCCGCATAAAAGAAAACATGTCAAGATGATGAAACTTGTGGTGCATAAGTTAGAAAATCATGTGGTATGATTTGAAGAACAATGCCCATATCTGAACAATGACTGTTTCTTCTGTTTATCATTATTGCGCCATTAAATGTCTAAACTTCTATCCACGGTGTCATCTATCCAAAAAGTTTAAACAAATTCTTAATGCCCAAACATTCTTCTACGGCATTAGGGTTCAAGTTTACATAAGATTTTCTGAGTTGCCTTTTGCTGTGACTGCTCTCGCTTCCTGACACTCTTACAACTACTATACAGGGCAAATTTCAGCTTGAGGAAAGCTCAGTTAGCATCATTTGGACCTGACCCTTATAATCCTAGCGGATGTTTAAATAAGCAAAAACATAGCATCATTCTACTTCCAGCATCTAACGATTTGACGCCGCAGGCAATATTATTAAAATCTAGGGCAAAGAAAGAAATCGCAAGTTGCCTAAATTGACTGTAAAGGAAAAACCCAAAATCCAAGCAAACGAATTCACCGCTACGAACAGCATTAAAACAGCACCATAAACAGCTCACAGCTAAAAAGAACAGGAAAAGGCGAAAAGGTTTTGACTCTAGGGCATCGGGCAGCACCAATCAAACGCCACAGAAATCGAGAAACCCAACCCCCGCAACCCTAGAGGTCACCAACCTGCATGGAATTCGAAGAATTCGAGAGCTTCCCCTGCGCGCCCATCGCCAGAGCTACGAATCGAAAGGAAATCGAGGATTCTAGGGCGCAATAGAGGGGATGAAAGAAGAGGGCTTTTTCTTCTCAGTGGGAAACCCTAGCTGCCATTAACGTCGTCCAATTGAGCTCAAACCCTACACCCCCCTTCTCTCTCTCTCTCTCTCTCCGCGCTTTGTTTCTCTCTCCTGGATTTTTTTTTTTCCCTTTCCTCTCTTCTTCGTTTCTCGCTCTAAAGTTCTCTCTCTCTTCGCGATTTTGAGAGCCCTTATTCGCGTAGAAATACGACGGAATGTTAGGGGCTGCGGGGCCCGCATAATTCGCACTCGGGACTCGCCAGGATATTACGGAAATACCCTTCAAACCGGTGTACCCGTACGAGTATGGAATACAGTAGGCTCGTCTTGAAAATGCGGAGGTTAGAGAGATAGCGGTGGTGATGTTCGCCTGTGCCGGTTTTCTCAGGCACCATGCCTCGCCGTTAACGTATATTTGAATAGCCCGCCCCTAAATTTAGTCGTCGTCATCTCGTGCTTATCATTCCCTACGGATACGCAAGTACGTGATATTCGAAGGTATCTGGGGTATTTTTTTTTTTTTCATATATGCACCCCCTCGTCGTGCGTGAGGATTTCCGTATGATATGAAGTACAGGGGTTGGATTTTTAGTCAATTGAATTGTTGATTCCGTTTGCGATATGGTTTTATGTCTAGAGGATTTGGACCTGCTAAGTCACTCCTTACGTTACTAGAGGACGGCCTGTTTTGGAAATAATGTTTTTCTTTACTGTGTTATACTGTTAGGTTTATGACATGAAGAATATCATTGGGCATGTGGTTCATGACATGATTGGCATGGGAATCATTAGATCAATTTATGATCTTTTTTCCACTTCCTCATGTAGTCTTCCTAAAAGAATATAATTGGTCACATGAAATTTCACATCGATCATAGGACTCTTCTAAGTCTAGCGTTGATTCTTTTATTAAAAATATTCTCCATTAGTTGTATGCGTCAATATATTTCCTAAATTGAATACCTTTTCATGCTATCATAAAATCTGAATGGCTCATTAAGGTACTACAAGGATGCACTTGAGATTCGTATTATTAATAATGGCATTTTCGGGCTCTTGACCTCTACACATCAATTAACGACAAATAAGCTTTTTCACAGTATTCGAGGCGTTTTATTCTGGTCAACTTTTAAGAATTTATTGATTTATAGATATTTCACGAAACAACAAATTGTCACGTGCTATGGTTCTTATCACCTAGATAAAAATCTTTCATATCTAAGCCCTCCGCGTGTTATTCGTTAAAACACAAATGAGCAACGTGGTGGGTAGTAAGAAGATAATCGCTACCTGACTTGGTATGTAAAGCCAATGAAAAATTGACGAGGGATCTTCAGCTTTGGTGGGAATCCATTTAAATTACAAAAGGGTTCATCCTTTGGCCCCCGAATTACATAATGTTTATATTAGACAAAATGAACAAATTCTCCTTAAAATATTGATAAACTCTCAACTTCTCTCTTAATATCTAATCACTTATATTATGCATACAACCTAGAATTTGCAAATTGGGTTAGCCAAAGCACTTTACGATGCCATGTTATATCGGTCAACCATGTATGCACTTTAACCCCTTAAAGTGTGGGACATTCATATTCAGTCATGGCCAATGGACCTGACCTCTAAGGCTGAGTATAACGATTTGGGTCGATGATAACCAATATGTCAGTTATCATGTCTTATATCAATCAGGCCCAGTTCCTATGGCGGACTACCTAATTAGAGACAACCTTATCCTCAACATCCCATGTTGGGAGATATCAGTCAGATACCCAATTTCTCTAATAACTTGCTTCTATAGCTGGTCAATCTACATAAATGTTAGTTGTATCATCCAACCCAATGAGGAACTATATCACTTGTTGTCAAAGTAAATACATGTAGACCAATTAACTACTTCAAAGGTCAAGTATACACCGCACCAACCTCGGGCATGAGGATGGTGACACGTGTAGAGACTGATATGCCCTACGCATTTAGTATACATATCCTCGTACCTAAGGTAAAACAATATTAAACTTTGACCTAGGCTCATGACCGCTAGCTTGGGTTAAGGGTCATCTTTCTCTAAAAATCCTAGTCTATTTACTTTCAACTTACGATCTTTTATTAAGGATCCAACTTGGGCATCTCAGAGGGATATTGGTGGACAACTCACCATCGTCAATCTGATGTTTTTCTGTGATCTCAGTTCATGCCAAGCAGACTCAAGTACACCCATATGCAAAGACCTACTTCTATCACCAAAGTTGACCGAAGGGCCCTCTACGATAGAGTCCATCTCACGGACTCAATTCTATAAATCGATTTCAAGCATCAACAACCTATTTTCCCCACTAATCTATGTGTGTGTGGCCAATATTGTCATTTTCATAACCCACAATCAAGGGCTTAATAGACTGATGATATAAGAGTGTTATTTTGAACTAGGTTTTACGCACATGCAATGCATGTGTTTACATATTGTGATTTAGTATTTTATTTATTTATTTCTTTACTAAATGTTGTTATTCGATTCCACTTTGATTGTTTTGCTCAGTTACATTTCTAAACTTTAGCATTATAATTATTTATTTTATTTGATATTTGTTTGAATGAGCTACATAAAATTTAAGTTTTCATGTTGATAATTAAATTGACAAAAAACAAATGTAATCCAAAGACAGTTTGAATATTTGTATTATTTGCACCGACATGAAACCAAACTTGACTTGAAAAAGTATAGTGTTGCGAAAGTGAAAAACAAATGGAAAAATGTTATTATAAAAGAAATACGAACAGTTAAAGCCAATAAGCCAAGATGATTGAGTAAAAGTGGGCTAGAACGAAATTAAAGAGAACATGAAGTTTGTTCCTAATCATTGGTAGACTTCATAAAAAATCATAAGCTAAAATTAATGCTACCTCTACTATACTTTTATATGATAAAAGATCATCATAAATATATAAAAATACTTAAAAAGTTCATAAAAATCCCTTCTAAAGATTCATAATTTTACTCAAAAAATTAAAATATTCTATAAAATATTTCAAAAATAGATATTTTATTCATTCTATTTTATTTTTTTAGTCAAAATCAACCCTTCTCCACATTTATCTTTTTTCTAAAAAATTCTAGAGCAGTGTCATCATCGTCTACCTCGATTATGATGTTTGTAAGAAAAATTGTAAGAAAATTAAGAAATCAATTAGTATAAATCTTCCTAACTTACGAAAAGAATGAATTTAATCTCTCAAAGTAATCTCTCTCTAACTGATTTAGCAAAAGAAATTATAATTTTCTTATCGGTTTCTCAATTTACAAAAGAGAGAAGAATCAACAAAGATCATTCCCTTTGTTTAATACTAGGTTCTTCTTAGTGGCGGTGGGAGTTTGAATTTTGTATCCCGTTGACGATCCAAACACTTCGCTTCGTGGAATGTTGATCTTCGCTTCTGACTTTACGCCGAGAAGAACTTGTTAAACAAGTTTTGAACTCTGGCCGAGTTAGGAACTTTAAAAAAAAAGTTAAAATCTAGTTGAGTTAGAAACTCTTAAAAATAGTTAATTTTGACAAAGGAGATTAATCCCTTTAAGCCGAAAAGAGCCGATCTCTTGATCTTTAAAATTCAATATAGAATTCAAGAGTCAATTCCAACCCCTCAAAACTCCAACCCTTTTTTAGCTGTAAAACCAGGTATTTATAGCTTTTAAGGGGTATAGCTGACCCCTTAATTTGCTCTATAATAGGGGTTTAATCGCCCCATTAAGTGGAAAACGGTTTTGAACCGTTCAAATTGTAATTGAAACAGTCAAACGTGAGAATCACGTTCTAGAGCGACCCTCACATTTAGCCTATGAAACACAGGGGGTGAGCCTCACGTTTTGAAGTTGGAACGCGAAGGTGGACTCTCACGTTTTGCTTTGAAAAGATCGTTAATTGTAATCTACTTTTCAAGTTCTGCTTTTTGAAGTATGAGAGCCGTTGAATTATAACTCTCGTTTGTAGTCGTAAAAGTCATCAGGTTATAACTTTCATCATTAGTGCTTTATGAGGATCGACTATTTGCAGTAATTTTTAAACAATCTACAGAACCCCCTCCAAAGTTTTCAAAAGTTCGCGGTTGATTAGAAGGAATTTTCAAAATAATTTGGATCTCAATTTAGTTTGATCTTGAAACAGTGTACTACTGATTCCTTATCATAAAGGGGTTGCTCACTGCATCCGTCTCGAAGGCACCATGAATTTGGTTCCAGAGGTTTGCCACGCAAGATCTGTGTTGTGTCTTCGCAAATGCGAGGGTTGCGTTTGGCCTTTGGAACGCGGGGGTGACCCAAGCATATTGCTTTTGAAATGCGGTGGTGATCCTCACGTTTGTTTTTTAAACGCAGGGGTGACCCTCGCGTTTGTTTTTGAAATGCAGGGGTGAACCTCGTGTATGCAGTTAGAAACGTGGGGGTGGCCCTCATGTTTTGCGTTTGGAATGCGAGAGTGACCATCGCGTTTACGCTGAAGTCAAACTGACTTAGTGAACGCGAGGATCGCGTTTTGGGCGGGATTCTTGCCTAGAATCTCATGCAAATCCTAACGGCCTAGCTGTCCATAAATAGACCCAGAGGTCAAATGAGGGTCAAATCGACTATTTTCTTCAACGAATGAACTCGTTTAATCTCCGACAACTTCTATTCACCATCGGCGACGACATCAATGGCACCTCCAAAACGTGCTTCTAAATCTAAGAAAGTCCCTGAAGCGATTTCAAGTGCGTCATCGGCCGAGGCCATCGGCGCTCCTGTCGCTGACACTCCGCTTATTAGCGGTAAGTAAAGTCGTTTGTCGACGAAGACTCAAACTTGTTCAACAAGTTTCATATTCAACGCGAGGCTCGCGTTTTGCCTTTGAAACGCGAGGGTGAACCCTCACGTTTTGTTTTCAAAATGCGGGGGTGGCCCTCACGTTTTGCTTTCAAAATGCGGTAAGTAAAGCCGTCTTGTTTTCAAAATGCGGAGGTGACCCTCACGTTTTGCTTTTGAAACGCAAGGGTGACCCTCGTGTTTTGCTTTTAAAAATACGGGTGTGACCCTCGCGTTTTGCTCTTGAGATGCGGGGGTGGCCCTCGCATTTTTCTCTTGAGACATGAGAGTGACCCTCATGTTTTTGACTAAGTCTTTTCGACTTTTT